TTAATGGCATATTTTAGCGACATGGCAAGGCAGAAAAAACCATCTAATCTTTGAGTTACGCACAGCATGATATGGACAATGCTAGAATTAAGGGAAAAGACTGACATATCAAAATATCACAAACTCGTCGCTTTTTTAAAACGCCAGAATGTAGGTTTTAAGCCAAAGAAGTCTAGCATTTTTACCTTCAACAAATAAATGTATTATAATCTTCAATTATTATTGTTAATCTTCTTGTTTATTTTTGTTGATGTTAGATAAGTATTTAATAAAGATATTACAAGAATATTTTGCTTAATTAAATAGGGCGAGAAATAAGAAAAACCGAGTGAGGGAAATGGGGGGAAGAAATGAAGATAATTTGACACTTTCAATTTTTTTAAAAGTCAGTAATGTCAGTATTACATAATATGTGGATGATATTATGTGGTTGTAAACAAAATAATTTAGTATAATGTGACAATACAGGGTTGTTCACCACACACGACACGGAGTATTGTAGCTAAACGATGAGATTTTTACAAATTGTAAGTTTTGGGTTCGATGGAGGACTATTAGAGGTAAAATTTAAAAATATTTTTACAAGATACAGAGTGTCCCAAATAAGTAAAAAATATCAAAGTTGTATTTTTTTAAATGGAAGACCCTGTATATTATTACATTTTGAGTTTCTACCATTAAAATAAAGGTAAATTTGATTAAGATTTATTATACTTAAACCTTACCGTTTTTGAAATATTTTCAATTTTGTGAAATTGCAGTAAAAATGTTAAGGCTTCATTTCTCCAAAGGTATCAAAGTTTTTAATACTAAATATTTACTGAAGTTTATTTATTGATCAGTTATTGTGTTGCAATAATAAAAATAATAATACCTTATACAGAGTGTCTAAAAATTTATTTTAAATAATTATTAGCTTCAAACGGCAATAACTTGTTTAATTTAAATCGAACACCCTGTATATTTTACGAGAATCAGATGCACAATTTAATTGTCTATCAAATTATGTTATACCATTTTTTACCTATCTCTTTAAGTTTCCGTAGAACATGCATTTTCTTGTAATTTAGAACTTATTTATCAATATACCCATGGACAATTGACATTTTAGATTATTTTTAAAGATGTACCAACTTTTTAAAGAGTACAGATACTAATATTGTCGATATAATTCGTTTATTTCATTAAAACATAAAAAAAAACTGTTTAAATATTTGTTAAAGAGGACCAATTAATATGATTTCAGTATTCAAACTACATTAACTGACTGTTTGCGTTGATTAATAATAATTGCTCCAAATACTAAAAAACTGAATTTTGTATGGGCATTAGACAGTGTGATAAAAAGTAACACCTTAAAAATGATATTTCATTTTTTAATAAATGCTTATTTATAACAACAAAGACTTTAATTTGAAACTTATTATTATATTGATTTCTGACTCAAAAATCCACATTTATTTATAATAATTTATTAACGAACACAATTAAGTATGTCATTAATTAGTATATGGGCGGAAATAATGGTGTTATATTTAATTAATGGTATAGTCTTTTATAAAGATTTAAATAGTTTTCTTTTTGCATACAAATGGGCTAGTAATATTATCGCTTTACTAAAAACGATAATATTACTAGTCTGTACATTTTGTACATTTGTTGCTTTAAAAACATCTAAAATGTCAGTATTCCATGGGTATATTGATAAATGATGTCTAAATTATAAGAAAATGCATTTTCTACGAAAACTTGAAGGGATAGGTAAAAAATATAGGTATAATACAACTTGATAGACAATTTGATTGTGCATCTGATTCTCGTAAAATATACAGGGCATTCCATTTAAATTAAAGAAGTTATTGCCGTTTGAAGCTAATAATTATTTAAGATAAATTTTTAGGCACTCTGTATAAAGTAGTATTATTTTTATTATTGCAACACAATAACTGATTAATAAATAAACTTCATTAAATATTTAGTATTAAAAACATTGATACCCTTGGAGAAATGAAGATTTAAAATTTTTACTGCAATTTCACAAAATTGAAAATATTTCAAAAACGGTAAGGTTTAAGTATAATAAACCTTAATCAAATTTACCTTTATTTTAATCGTAGAAACTAAAAATGTAATAATATACAGGGTGTTCTATTTAAAAAAATACATCTTTGATATTTTTTATTTATTTGGGACACTCTGTATCTTGTAAAAATATTTTTAAATTGTAGCTCTAATAGTCCTTCAACGAACCCCAAACTTACAATTTGTAAAAATCTCATCGTTTAGCTACAATACTCCGTGTCGTATGTGGTGAACAACCCTGTATATTATTAATAACAAACATTAACCTAATTATAAAATTTTTGATTGTGTACTCATTTCTAATTGATTAAAAACCCCATAGGCGTTAATTTCTGAATAACCACCACATTGTCAAAAAGACCCAGAATTGCAAAATAATATTATTATGCGTGAAAATATGCGGATATCGATACAAAGTCGAACGTTCTGTTGAATTTACATAACGTTATTCCAGTAAATATTCTGTGTTTCCCTCTCTATGTGTTCCACCCTCACACAGAACAGTAAAAGGGTCGGAATTAGGGGTAAAGGGGGAAGGGAAATCTGGTATAATTGACTTGCTAACCACTGTCAACTACAAAATGGCCTGATTGAGTTTATATTTGCGTTGTTTTGTGGAAATTTTTACAAATACCGTACTAGAACAACAAAAGTATTTGTAGAATTAGCGGAATATTGCATTTAGAGAGTATAATATAACGAATCTATACCAATATAGTATAAAATCGTTAAGTGACTGACATAATGATTAATCACGATCCTGCTCAAACCACTCAACGTAAGAAGCTCAATTTTGGCATACAGGTTGATTCTAGGGTGTGGAGGTTCGATAAGAAGGGATTTTTCGAAATTCCAGTTCCAAGAGGGTGAAACCACCCCTCAAATATTACAATATTTTTATTTAAAAACGGTCAAGTTTCCGAAAAACGCTTAAACACGTATATTTTATATTGTTTTTTTTACATATTTTAAGATTTTTTAAAAATGTATACAGGGTGCTTCGAAAAATCTGGTCATTGATTAATCACGATCCTGCTTAAAAGCGCTTGACGTAAAAGCTGATTTTTGAAAACAGATTGACTTTAGGGTGTAGAGGTTCGATAAGAAGGGATTTTTCGAAACTCGAATTCTAAGGGTGAAACTATCCCTCAAATATTAAAATATTTTTTTATTTAAAACCGGTGAGTTTTTTCGAAAAACTCTTAACCACGTATATTTTATTCTGTTGTTTTACATATTTTAAGATTTTTTATAAATTTATACAGGGTGTTTCATAAAATATGACCATTGAGTAATCACGATTCTGCTTAAACTGCTTGACGTTTAAAGCTGATTTTTGGCAAACGGATTGACTGTGGGGTGTAGAGGTTCGATAAGGAGGGGTTTCTCGAATCTCAAATTCCAGGAGGGTGAAAACGCCCCTCAAATATTACAATATTTGATATTAAAAAACCGGTTAGTCTTTCAGGAAAACGCTTGGACAAGCATAATTTATTTGTTTTTTTTGCATATTTTGAAATTTTTTAAAAAACCATACAGGGTGTTCCAAAAAGTTGGGTAATTTCTTAACCACGATTCTGCTTAAACTGCTTGACGTAAAAAGCTTATTTTTGGCAAACGGATTTTTCGAAAGTCAAATTCCAACGAGATGAAACTACCGTCAAATATTACCAAGTTATATAGTAATATCGCCATATTTTTTTCTCATGCTGACATAAATGTGAGAAAACTTTATCCAGTTTTTATGCTAATGGAAATTCTTGCTTTGCCTTATCATCATATAAGTATATTTTGTTATAACTTACTATTTAAAAAATATATTGTGTCGAATGAATTATTCAAAAATGTATTGTAGCTAAGTAAATAAAGTGAGTTTAACTATTATTTCCAGATTACATTATACTATACAGCGTGGTTTTAACGAATTTATGTTTGTTTTTTTACTTGCTTTCACGCATTCTGTCTTTTTAATAGTATATTTTCAGTTGAAACATGCTATTTTTTTCTTTTTCACAAAATAAAAACAGATTGATTTCACCTGACCGTTTTTTCAATCTATCGTTTCTGGAAAAAAAAACACGTACAATTGCTTTTAACCAGTTTGATCGTTATTGTGAGTGCTGTGGTGTTATTTGGTTTTGTAATATCTGGATTTTTTTTCAGTTATTTTAGTACAACGCACCCTTTTGTGACTTTTTCGACGATTGAAAAGTCTGTTTTTTTTTAATTAAAATAGAATTTTGAATGAACGATTTAAACTGAAATACTTCAAGATATACTCAATAAAAATAAAATCTTATTGTATTCTTCACACAAGTTATGAAATATATATTTTTTTTTCTTATAGATTAAACTAACTAAAGAAGAATTAGCCAACATATGTGCTGCATCAGAAAGATACATAGGCACTCAAGGAGGTGGAATGGACCAGGCTATAGCTTTTCTAGCTCAAGAAGGTAAGAACAGCTGGTTTCCTATTTATTAAAAATTAAAAAATATTTACAGTAAAATTAGAAAATTTAAAATAAATGTAATTTTTCAATATTTAAGAGTCCCTGACCCATAGTTGTCTATTGTTGGCTATGCAGGTCCAAGTTATCCCAGCTTAGGTTTGGTCTCTTTCTATGTCCCTTAATTTCTCATCTATTTGTCAGTCCTTCTTGCCAGGTATTCTGCCTATTGGCACTTGAGGGATTTGATTCTGTGGATGACATCTATCACCTCGGTCTTTTGTCGTATCCACTCTATACTTTTACAGTGTATCTGGGTTATTCCCGGCATATTTCGTTACATTGAGCATTGTGCGACCTACAGTTTCCTCATAATGTCCGTTTTAAGTATCCAGATTTCGCATGCATAGGTCATGACTAGTAGTACATATAAAAAAATGACAGGTAGTACCGGGTGGCCAACTAAGAATGGACACCGGTTGTATCTTAGAAACTACTTATCGTACAACTTTGGGTAAAAAATTCTAAATAAAATAAATCGACCAAGAGAAATCGCTGGAAATTATTATCAAGTTCGAAAAATGTCCGCTAGAGGGCGTTTCTCTGATAGCCAATCAGAAAACAGGGGTTTTCTCAAAAATATGCAGGTGAACAGGTACTTTAAATATTACTATTGTAATTATCGAGAAATGTGTAATTTTTTTGATATAGAGTATTTCGCTGTATTTCATAAAATAAAGTGGTGGGGGAAGTTTAAATTTGCTTCTATCAAAATAAAGATAACTCTGGTTTGGGTTACCCGATTTAAACAAACTAGGGCTCGTTTAAAAGAGCCTTTCTTCCTTAATGATCTACAGTATAAAGTTTGTTTCCATAATATTTTTCGTGGTAGCTAGAGGGCGCTGTTTGACATCATAACAGATATTGCGCTTTTGCATAAAAAAATTAAATAGGAGGCTATACTTCTCTTTGCATAGTTAAATAGAGCACAAAATTTTCAAAATATCAGCACAACCCACAACTTTCTACCTTCTCTCTAACCGGAGATATTGAGAGAACAAATCATGTTAGGCACCCGCTTAGGATTATATAGTCTAAAAATTATAGTAGTAGGCAAGGAAACAAAAAGAGGTAACTTAGTTACGTCAAAATATGAAAACATATATTTGAATTTCATTTTAATACCATTTAATTGTTTAATTAATTAATTTTTAAGTAATTAATTAATTTATCACCCCCTGCTTTTTTTACACCATTTCAATGACACTCTGTAGTTAAAGCGGCATTCTAGATATGATTTTTTCCATTATGTAACAAATGAAGAAGTCTCTCAGTCGTACAAAATTTAAATAATTCTTTTATCCCATTTATTTCCTTTTGTGGACAAGCTACTAAAGAAAATTTTACCCTAATTTAAAACTTTTACCAAACCTCGATAACAACGTCCCGGGTATCTTAAAGCTTTCGGAATATTCCTGGGGGGATAGAACTGCATCCCAGCTTAACTTTCAACGGGGTAAAATCGGGATAGAATCAATCGACCCGTCCAGGATAGCTCTCAAAGGCGGGAAGGGAATAGAAAACATCCTGGAGTAGCTAGGAGGATGTTTCTTTTAAAAGAGAAAAAGTTCTAGAGTTTTTTTTTCGCAAGAGCGTCCAAATAAATTATTTTTTACTCTGTTGTACTTTTGTACACATTTTTAAACTTTAAAAGTTTACTTTTGTTATTAATTAGAAATTTTATAACATAGATTGTCTATATAGCGAGTTACGTTTTAAAAAATATTCAGAAATTATTATTTCAAGGAATTTATTACGAGTAGAAAAAATATTGTGCTGGGTTGGCGTTGGTTTCTATGTAATTTGACAAATAAATAAAGCTGTCTCTTTAGTTGTCAGTTTTGAGTCGATTGCTGATTGAACTGGAGCCAGAAATGGCTCAAAACGAAATAAGTAAATTACCAACAGATATTCAGGCTGAGGCGACAAACCCCATATCCAAACTACTTCCATTTAAATCCCGAATAACTTATGAAAAGGAATACAAAAATTTTCAAAAATGGAAGCAATTAAAAAACGTGCGAGAAGAAATAAAGTTTTTAACCTCTCTTCACTGTTATCTAATATTTTATTCATGCTAGTGTCACTGAACTCTGTCCCTCCCAAAAACTGTTTAAATTAGATTTATAAAATAAAACTAAAACAACATGGAAAATGCGATGGAGTGGCGAGTTAAAGCGTCTCATAAATATTCAAAATATTCTCCAAGTTTACGCTTTGGCGATATTTTCATTAAAACCGGATAAGTAGCCCCCGTTTCAGTACAGCCGGGTTGGATGATAAGTTTTTACATTTTGGGCCAGTTTGAAAGCCTGCCAGACGTTGTAGAGCCATTTGTTAAGGTAATCTAACCGGTGTTAAGGCAAGTCTACACATACTTTTTTACCTGTCAGTCTTTTTTACCTGTTCAAAGTCAAACTGTATCAAGGAAAACATTGTATGTAAACGAAAAAACACACATATTTTGGATATTATCATCATTATAATTATCATTTTCACCATATTTAACTATTTCCAATTATGGCGTAGCAAGGAAAAGGAAAAGGAAAAGGAAAAGGAAAAGGAAAAAAAGAAAGAAAAAGAGAGAAAGAAAAAGACAAAAAGAAGAAGAGTACAGCTTCCCCGGAAGGGGAAGGGGAAGGGGAAGGGGAAGGGGAAGGGGAAGGGGGAGGGAAGGAAGGGAGGGGAAGGGAAGGGAAGCGCGCGGGCAAGGGCAAGGGGAAGGCAAGGGTAAAGGGGGCGGGCAAGGGCAAGGGGCGCGGCGCGCAAGTGGGCAAGTGCGCGGGGCAGCGCGCAAGGGCAGGGGCAAGGCCAAGGGTAGGGGCGCGGGCAGGGGCAAGGGCAGGGGGCAAGGGCAGGGGCAGGGGCGTGCGCAGGGGGCAAGGGCAAGGGCAAGGGCAAGGGCAAGGGCAAGGGCAAGGGCAAGGGCAAGGGCAAGGGCAAGGGCAAGGGCAAGGGCAAGGGCAAGGGCAAGGGCAAGGGCAAGAGCAAGAGCAAGAGCAAGAGCAAGAGCAAGAGCAAGAGCAAGAGCAAGAGAAAGAGCAAGAGCAAGAGCAGCAAGAGTAAGAGCAAGAGCAAGAGCAAGAGCAAGAGCAAGAGCAAGAGAAAGAGAAAGAGCAAGAGAAAGAGCGTAAGAGCAAGTTAAGAAAGCAAGAGCAAGAGAAGGAAGAGCAAGAGGAAGAGCAAGAGCAAGAGCAAGAGCAAGAGCAAGAGCAAGAGCAAGAGCAAGCAATAAGAGCAAGAGCAAGAGCAAGAGTTAAGAGCAAGAGCAAGAGCAAGAGCAAGAGCAAGAGCAAGAGCAAGAGCAAGAGCAAGAGCAAGAGCAAGAAAGAGCAAGAGCAAGAGCAAGAGCAAGAGAAAGAGAAAGAGAAAGAGAAAGAGAAAGAGAAAGAGAAAGAGAAAGAGAAAGAGAAAGAGAAAGAGAAAGAGAAAGAGAAAGAGAAAGAGAAAGAGAAAGAGAAAGAGAAAGAGAAAGAGAAAGAGAAAGAGAAAGAGAAAGAGAAAGAGAAAGAGAAAGAGAAAGAGAAAGAAAGACAAAATATTTCAACAAAACATTAAATGATCAAAAATATAAATGAAGAATCTTAAATATAGAATCAAAAACTGTGATTCAATCTATCGACTCTACATAACACCCTGAATAAT